CCTGCCTATGACTTTTCAGAACACAACTGTGTCCCAAGCACTATGAAAAATACAGCACTCCCTGCTCCATTTCAAGAGCCTCAGAAGGGACTTGCTTTAAAAGCCATGATGGGAACCGCTACAAGGAGAAGCAGACAGGGCACGGATTCCTCTGAAGCTCTGAAGCACAGACGTCTTTACCAGGGAACCAAAAGGAACTCCACACACACAGGTGCTGAGTGCACACAACTCTGCTGCGGCGTTTCTGGCAGATGTACACTGACGTGGAGCTCAGCAAGGGCTCTTCCCAGGAATGTTTCTACAACTTCCTCCAGATCCAAAATGAAAGTTTCACTATCTGTCCCGGACAACTGACAAGGGTGTAATGAACAGGAACAGGAAGCAGTATTTATCTTTACAAAACTAAACCCAACTGGAAAGTAAATGGAGCCAGAACTTCCCAGCCCATCTCAAGAGGATGGGAGTTGGTAGTTACCAACCACTCTATGGTCACAGGCTAATAGGCTTGGATAATGATGTACCAGTGGGAGCTGAAGACAGGCCAAAGCCTGTTGGGCAATACAGAACCTTGATTTAAGGAGCAAGCCAGTTTAAAACTTTTATTTGAACTTTTACAAGTTAGAATCACATGGATGCTAAACCATGTTAATTCTCAAAAGTTAAGTGTACGTAGCTGAGCACTGATGACCTATTCTAATGTCAAAGGTCACTTAATGATGACTTTCTGCACAAAGCTTTCCACCACCCCACTTTCCCCTCTCATAAGCAACAGGTGAACCTACTTCTACTAGGTAAACCAATGTAATGCTCCTTGGGACACTGCCATCAGACAGGACTAGCAACTACTTTCTAAGTGACGAACTCCACACTGGTGACTTTCAGGTTGAATGTTTACATCTACCTTCTCTAGGATATCCTCACTCTGCACACAATTCGACCGATGACATCGTGGAACCCACCCCTGGCAATCTGTCCCACATTCACACCTTTCAAATTTAGACTCCACATCAAAGTCTTCCACGTTCAAGACCAGATCCACATTGTTCTCTGTACCAAGGCTGGACCGTGTGGTGGTGTAAACACTTAGCTGGAAAGAGTGAACAAGAATGTAAGGTCAAAAGGTCCTGACAGGAAACATATCACTGTTGGGGCAATGCAGGCAATCTGGGGGCTACTTCCCAGGGAGAGACCTTGGGCTTGGTCAAAATGGCCTGTGTGACACTGTTGTGAAGAACCGGAGAGTGGAGCTGACGTGTCGTGAAAGCCCACTAGAATCAGGAAGTGACACAGGTAATAAGGGTCAGAGTTTGGCAGCCCGAAGCATATGGCTTGAGTACTCGCGGCGACTTCCACTGGGATTCCTTTAGGAAACATGTGTGGGGCGATTCGATTTCAGTTATCACCAGGGCAGAACAGGGTTAACCAGGGGGCAGCAGAGATAAGAGAAGCCCCAACTCCAGCTCTCACTGTCACCTCATCAGAACACTGGACGGTGACATCAGTGGTAGAGGTGCAACGGCATGGGGATCGCTCGCGCCCCGTTTCTGACTAGTGTCAGTAAGGTATGGGGTAGCACCGGCCGGGAGGCGCCCTCTTCGGGCCCCCGACTCTCACCTGCAGCTTTGGCCGCCGGGCCAGATACGGCTGGATACAGTTGGAGTCGCCCGAGCACGGACGGGTGTAGACGATACCGTACATGACCCAGCAGGTGTGCACCACGTACACCACAAACACGCCCACCACCAAGCTGGTGAAGGAGCTGCGGCCGCTCCACATGGCGCCGCCGCCGCCTGGGGGCCAAGCGCCGCCGCCGCTCGCACCCAGCAGCCGTGGTGGGCGTGTTTGTGGTGTGCGTGGTGCTGTCTTGCGGGGTCTTTGACGGTATCGTCTACACCCGTCTTTTTTTTTTTTTTTTTTTTTTTTTTTTTGCAGCTTTGGCCGCCGGGCCAAAGCTGCAGGTGAGAGTCGGGGGCCCGAAGAGGGCGCCTCCC